AAGGGATGCTTGACCTGCTGCAGCATGCGGCGCTCGTCGTTTGTGTGCTCGACCTGCTTCATCTTGACGACCTGGGCCTTTTTCAGCACCTTGACGGCGTAGAAGCGCTGGTTGTGCTTGGACTGGACGAGGTGGACGCGGCCAAAGCTGCCGGTGCCGAGGGTGCGCTGGATGGTGAAGTCGGTCAGCGAGTACTTGCCCTTTGTGACGCGGGCCTGGTTGAGGGGCTGTGTCTGGAACTGGACGGCGCCATTCTTAGCGGACGGGTGGTGCGAGGAGGACGTGTTGGAGGAGGGAGTGGTGGTGGTGTTGTTGGGGTGTATGAGGTTCTGTATGCTGGGCGTGTTGCGCGAGTGCTGGGGGTTAGACTGGGGGCTTGTGGCTGTATATTGCTGTGACTGCAGGTGCTGCTGCTGCTGCTGCTGCTGCTGCTGCTGTTGGTGGTGGTGGTTGTGCTGCGGCTGCTGCTGCTGCTGGGTATGGGCGGGGTTCATTGAGTCTACGGGCTTGGGGGCGGCGGCAGGCGCGCCCGGGGCGGTGGAGGCGGACGAGGAGCCGGTGCCGGTGCCGGTGGCGGACGTGTTTGTGGTGGAGGTGGAGATGGCAGCAGGCGTGGCGGCGTCGTGGGCCGAGGTGGCGGTGGTGCTGGAGTCGTTGGTCTTTGTCTTGTGCAGGTGGAAGGAGCCCGACTTGCGGGAGCCGGTGGGCGTGAGGGGCGAGTGCGAGTCCTTTGTGGGCGAGGCGGGCGAGTCGAGGTCGCGCGAGCCGTGCGAGTCCTTTGTGCGCTTCTTCTTGAGGAAGCCCAGGGTAGGCATTGGAGGGGCGGGTCGACTGGTGCAGCGGCGCTGCGCTGCCGGTGTGCTTCGACGCAGGTCGCGGGGGCGATGTCAGCAGTGTCTAGTGAGCGAGGGCGGGCGCGTGCATCGGCGCAGGTGGTGATGGGCGGACAATGGATGGGACGATGAGGTCGTCGACGGGGCTGGTGGTTGCGGATGCGGCGTGGGCGGGCAGAGAGCGGCGGGCTTGGGGGCTTGGGGCGTCCGCTAGTCCTGGCTGGCGGCGGTGCGGCGTCGTAGTCGTGGTCGAGGACAGGCAGGACAGGCAGGACAGGCAGGACAGGACGGACAGGCCAGGCCAGGCCAGGACGACGAAGCTGCAGTCTGCCCGCGCATCCAGCTGCCGCCGTTTCACCCTCGCGTTTGGCTGCCCACTCTGGAGGGCTTGGCCCTGGTACATGGACACTTGTGGTGCTGCTGCTTACATGCACCGTCGATACGGCAAGACACATACATGTCTGTATACTGAGATGCGCCATCCTCTCCCCCACACCCACGCACCCGCCGCAGCCAGCCCGTCCCTTGCCCGTCAGCAGCGCGGCGGCCGGAAGGCAGGCTGGTTGCGTCATGCGTACCAGCATCGAGGACCACGGGCTCGCCCATCCCGGTCCATGGCCGCAACACGCCCAGCCCCCAGCCTTGCCCACACCGACACGACAGGCACCCGCTCACATTGGCCGCCATCCATCTGCTACTACATACTATGTCTGCGTGTGCATGATGCCCCTTTAGCGCCATGCCCGTCTTGAGCAATACTGGCTGGCCGCACCATGATCATATCTGGCCGGCCGTGCCATGATCATACTCGGCTGGCCGTGTGCAAATGAGCTGGATAAACAACACGCGTGTATACACAGAGGACACACACACACACAAAAGCGCCCCCTCGTGCTCCCATGCCAACCCCATCCATGCCCAGCTGCTAGACGTGACTTCACACATAAACATTGGTTTTGCTCGTTTCAGAGCTCGGCGCCCGCCCGCTCCGTTTCAGCTGCCCCACCAGACACCGCCACGGCCTCATACGTCTCCAGGTCCAGCCCGCACACCTCCATGCGCCGCTGCCGGAAGCGCTCGTACAGCCCGCTCCATGCCTCTTGCGCCGCTGCGTTCGGTGGCCGCAGCCGCGCCCGCTCAGCATACGGCACGTCGTACTCGGGCCCCGGCAGCTCCGGATCGCTCAGGCGCACAAACGTCGTCGCCTGCTCAAACGCCGTCGCGTTGAAGTCGTCGCCCGCCTGCCGCAGCTGCTGCGACTCGTACACGACATTGCCCATGGACAGCGACCACTCGGAAATGAGCGAGTCGGGCACGCTGAATGTCTGGCGGAACATGTTGAGATCCGACGTCGGCTTCGACGCCCGCAGTGCCCGCAGCTGGCTGTAGCTCTGCTGTGACGGGTGGACCACGAGCAGCGACGTCGACATGTCTGTCCGCTCCGCCGTCGCCGGGTATGCTGCCATGGGCTCCGACTTGGAAAAGGCAAGCAGCGAGTCGAGTGCAGACGCATCCAGCAGCACGCCTGGCCCTTGGAGGTACAGTAGCCGCTCGTAGTCGACCAGTGAATACAGACTGGCTAGCGAGTAGGACGAGGGCAGTGTGTCTGTCCTTGTCGTCAGCGCCTGCCACCAATTGCCCGCTGTCGGCCTGTCGGCCTGTCAACAAACTCACCGTCTGCGCCTTCGACAAGAGGCTCCATGGGCACCAGCCTCACTCCGTACCGTCTCGCTGCCGTCCGCAGCAGCCTCCGCGTAGTCGTCATCTCAGCACTGTACTTGTTGTCTGCCGACTCTGCCAGCCATAGTTTGGGGAACATCAGTATCCTCGTGGCGGGGCTCTTCATCCGGTGCAAGTCCGACAGCAGCATGACGGCACTGCACAGTGCCACATGCTCGCGCACAACCTGTACGTAGCCTAGCCTGCTCCAATCCATCGTCAGACCTGCAATGTACTGTGCATACGTGTCATCCACCTCGGGACGGCTGCCCATGGGCCGAGCCCATTTCGCATCCAGCGTTGGTGGCTCGATTGCCTTGGGCGGCGGCAACGGCTTGGGCAGTCGTGGTTTGATGGCGGCTTGGAGCGAGTGTACATAGCGTTGCTGCAACACCCATCCCGACAGGAAGAGGGCGAGTGTGAAGAAGAAGACTGAGCGCGCCTGTCAGTCGAGGGGCATGACATCAGACAGTCGCCGGACGTACCAATGCTGATGGACAAGAGGACCGAGACCTGCCCCGAAGTGAGAAGGAGGCGGCCCATGCCGACAAGTGAATGCGCAACACAGGGGCTATCAGAAGAAGAGTCTTGGGAGTCAAGCAAGGAGCGTGCAGAGTAACAAGTGGTGCATGGGCAGCAAAGTGTAGAATGTGCATTGGCGTTACATGCAGTCGACTTCTAGTAGATGCCCCCATGTCCGTAGGGCTGCATCTTGCCTGTCGTTGAAGGGGCAACAATCGATAGCTAGCCACCCGTTCCCTGTCTCAAATTATCCCAACCATGACCCTCACCCGCAAAGCTTACCTCGACCTTTGCAACCCGAACACAACGGCGCGCGCGCATTCCTGATCCTCGCTTGGGCCAGCATATCCCGAATCCATGCATGCAAGCCGCCGACCCGTCCCCAGCACATGTCGAAACCACAATTTGATCGCGCCGACGCGAGCGCGCTCCTCGACGACCGAGGATACCGCGGCGCCCTCATCCGTGGCCAGAACCCGGCCCTCCTTTTCGAAAAGGGCGTGCGCGAGCGCATCACCGAGTCGTACTATTGGAAGGAACAATGCTTCGGTCTGAACGCTGCAACACTCTGTGATCGCGCCGCAGAACTCAAATTCATCGGTGGCACCACGGGCATCACAGGCAAACCAACGCCATTCCTGTGCCTGGCCTTCAAGATGCTTCAGTTGGTCCCGGACAAGGAAATCGTTCTCGAGTACCTCAACTTTCGCGACGACGATGATGACGAAGAGGACAAAGCCGAGGTCAAGAAAGAGAATGGCGACGCTGCAGCCGACGACGCCGATCAATCTGCCAACAAGGAGCTTGACTTGAATGCAGCGGGAAAGCTCGGCTGCTTCAAGTATCTCCGCTGCCTCGCTGCCTTTTACATTCGCCTTGCCTGGGAGCCGGTCGAAATCTACAAGACACTAGAGCCTCTACTCACCGACTACCGCAAGATCAAACGCCGCCTCAAAGACACGTTTACCCTTACCCATGTCGACCAGTTCATTGACGATCTCCTCACAAAAGAGCGCATCTGTGCGACGAGCCTGTGGAAGTTGCCTTCAAGGGCAATTCTCGAGGATTTGGATATGTTGGACCCAAGAGAAAGTCCGCTGGGAGATGAGGTCGACGAGCTGGATGAGGACATGGACAGGAGGAGTGTTGGCAGTGAAGCAAGCTATAGGAGTCGAAGCTATGACAGTCGAAGCAGGAGTAGAAGTAGGGACCATGAGAGTCGGAGTCGAAGCCGGAGCCGCAGTAGAAGCAGAAGCTATGATAGCCGGGACCGAGGCAGGAGTCGTAGTCGTAGCCCAGGAGAGCAAAGCATACCAAGTCGATCGAGACGTAGCACACGAAGCCGGAGCTCCAGTCGCAACCAACGTCACAGCAATGATGAATAACAAGGGTCTTCCCCAATCTACGAACCTCTTGCGCTTACCAAGTCACAATTGAACCCACGCCATATACCCACCAGTCTCAACCCACATACAAGCTTTATTGCAGATTATATCTTACATATCGTTTTCAAAACAATAACCAGCCATATACATGCATATACCATTATACCTCTGTCACCATACAAATTTGTTGACGGCTTATGTCTATACGACTTCTTTCAAACCTACGATTATGTTATACTTATTCGCATAGTCTGTTAATCAATTGTGGAACATGGCCCAGCTATCAAATGCCCGCGGACTTGTTGATACCACATGAGCTAACCGTTTAGAGAAAGTCCAACCGACTATACAAACACCAAAGTGGGGAAGGGACCCTCTCTGCGAGATACGTAACTCAAGTTCGTTGTACGTATTTTTTTTGATTGTTTTGAGCCTATCGAATAAACATAGCTGTCTCTCCTCAGCGCATGGGAACCTTGAGTAAATTGCACTCTGGCAGCTTAGTAGACATCACCTGATCAGCGCGAGTGGCGTACCAAAGATGGCGAGCATCAATGTAAGTTTTGATTTGAAAGACAGAGTCGACCCTCCCAACAAGCATACAGAAGACCAACGATGAGAGACCCGGTTTCGACATTGTAGAGGCCGCCATCGTGGACCACCGTGACGCCCTCCTTTCGGGCAAGACAAGCAGTGTCGACCTAGTCGTTGCATACCTAAACCGTATTGCCCGCTACGACACATGCAAAGGCCTTGGTGCCTTTACTGTATTCAACAACAATGTCCTTGAAGAAGCAGCAGCCTCTGATGCACGTCGGGCACAGGGTCTGGAGCCACGACCCCTAGAAGGCATACCTTACACGATCAAAGACAGCTACAAGGTCGCTGGAATGACTGCAACTGCAGGATCTCCTGCGCTCAAGGGTGTCATGTCGAGTGAGGACTCTGCAATTGCCAAGAAGTTGCGGGATGCAGGAGCAGTGCTGATTGGGAAGACGAACATGCCGCCTATGGCCGCCGGGGGTATGCAACGAGGCATGTATGGTCGGGCAGAATCCCCTTATAATTCAAAGTACCTTACAGGAGCCTTCTCGTCTGGCTCCTCCAACGGAGCAGGAACCTCGGTAGCGGCAAGCATGGGGGCTTTCGGCATGGGCAGTGAGACTGTGAGCAGCGGACGCAGTCCAGCTTCGAACAATGCCCTCGTCTGCTACACGCCATCCAAAGGACTACTGAGTTGCCGAGGACTGTGGCCGTTATATGTCACGTGCGATGTACCCACACCGTATGCGCGTTCGGTTAGTGATATGCTGGAGATTCTGAATGTGATTGCTACGCCGGACCAAGATACGACAGGAGACTTTGTGCGAGAACAAAAGCATGTGCAAATACCCCAGCCCCCTCAGCTAGACTACATGACTCTACGTAATTCTCAAGCGTTTAGAGGAAAACGGGTCGGAGTCCCAAAAATGTACATTGGCCAGAAAGACTCGGATCCATACGCAAAGCCTACCTACGTTTCACCAGAGGTCATTGCACTGTGGGAAAGTGCAGCCAAAACCCTCCAAGATTTAGGCGCAGAGATTGTTTACACCGACTTTCCCCTCGTTACAAATTACGAGAACGACTCTGTATCCGGTGAGGCCAACAACGTACAAGGCCAACCCACAAACTGGAATCTCGTGGAGCGCGGCATCCTCATCGCACAAGCCTGGGACGCCTTTCTCGTGCAGAACAACGACGCTAAGATCAAATGTCTAGCAGACATCAAGGATCCCGCGATGCTATTCCCCAAGCCCCCCGACTACAAACCCGACACCTTCCTCGAAGTCCGCAACTGGATCGATTACGCCGGTCTCCCCAAGCTCGTCCAGACAACAAGCAGCATCCACAAAGTGCAAGGCTTGGAGCAAGCTCTCAAAGCGCTCGAAGCCCAGCGCAAACGCGACCTGGAAGACTGGATGGAAACGCACAGGCTAGACGTGCTTGCGTTCCCCGCCCAGGGCGACGTCGGCCTCGCAGACGTCGAATTCAATCTCGACAGCACAACGCACAGCCTGCGCAACGGCGTCAAGTACTCGAACGGGAACCGCGCGATTCGCCACTTGGGCGTGCCGACCGTCAGTGTGCCCATGGGCGTCATGGCCCAGAAGAAGATGCCGGTAAATATCACGTTTGCGGGCCAGGCGTATCGCGATGCCAAATTGTTCGAGTTTGCGTATGCGTTTGAGACGGCGACCAAGGGCCGCGTTGCGCCGCCGCTTACGCCGGGGTTGCCGACGGATATCGCGGCGGCGGCGGCGGCGGCGGCGGTAAGGCCGGGTCCGGTGATAGCTGGTGTGGAGGTCCAAGTGAATGACCCATCAGCTTCTCGACCCATTTCCATGTTGATTCATGGTACGCTGCACAAGGCCATGCCGCAGACTCGTGTCCAGATTTTTGTCGATGGCCAACAAGTGTCCGATTTGACTACAGATGATGTAGACTGGCTGGTTACACATAGCCATGTGCCCGAGAGACCGCCGATTCTGGGCTGGCATCTTAAGCCGTTGCCGCCCAGGGATGCTATGGTTCTCGTTGTTGTGACGAGCAAAGCTGACGGCGAGGGAAGTGGAAAGAGGGACGCTAGATTGATTTGGGTACCGTTGGAGAGATAGCTTGGTTCGGTGGGGGGTGGGGGTGGGGGCGGTGGAGTAGAATTATCTATCGTCTTTGGCCGTTCGTTGTATACACTCCAATTCAATCATGCTATCCATATCACACTACTCCCGTAAAGTCGATTTCGTATTCGCCGAGTAAGTTTTGACGTTTGTTNCCCCCCAAAAAACAAAGGAAGTCAGATAGAGAAAAAAAAAGAAAGAAAACACGCGAAATTCAAGTTGAAAAAAAAAAGATAAAATTCTCTTATCCCACTACTACCACGACCGCAGAATCAGTAGTGACTATTCTATGCGCGCCCCCACCCCCCTTCGCTTCCAAAGCAAACCCCATAAAATCTAGCAATGGGAAAAAAAGAACTCCTTGAACCCGCTAAACCCCTTCACGCTCGTTGCATGTTATCGTACTCGGTTGCCGTTGCCGTTGAGATGTGTTGATGGTATCTTTTTCTTTACATGACAGTGCACCAGCAGGATTCGTCGCAGCCGCAGCAGTCGCAAGACTCGCCGCACTTGGGGGCAGTGGGCTTGACGATGGTAGAGATGGAGGAGGCGACGCTGGCAGGCATTTTGAAAAAGAGTTGGTTGTGCTGGAAGGGGAGTGTTAGAATGGCGGGGGGGATTGGCGGTTGAGAGGTAGGTGAAGGGTGGGAGTAGCTTACTGGTAGAGAAGAGGTGGGGTGAGTGAGTTGAGAAAGTAGTAGAGTGAGGTTTTTTGTTTGGATGGTAGATTGGAAGTGGTTGATGTGATTGTGAAATGAAGTCTAAATAAACGGGCAGACAGATAGACTTTTATACGAGCGCCAATGCTGATCAGCTGCCTCAAGCAACCAAGTAACTTGGATAGAAAGCGTAACAGAACCAAGCCTCAAGCCCTGCCTAGCACACCCCCCCCCAGCTGTCTCAGCAGTTGCCAGTTGTCAGGACCGTCATTGGTCTCGCAGGCGTCGGGATGCACCGCCTCGTTTTGTCCTGTCATTTCTCCAGGCCCCAGGCTAGGGGTGGGGAATGGCTACGCGTATAGCAACAGACGGCACGCAGAGCCATCACACCAGCGAGCGGTGGTGGCTCAGCTGGTGGTTGCGGCAATAATCCAGCGGGCGTCATTGGTTTGCTGGTCGGCGGTACTCGTATCACATATGCAGTCGAGCATCACGGACCCCCCGGTCTGCGTAGCTACGCATTGCGTCGTGAAGCAGCACCAAGCCTGTGGCGCCCTGCTTAATCCCTCATAGTAGCTGCGTCTGCTTAAGCTTCGCCAAGCCGCCGCTCAAATCTTGTTTTGGCGAGCCTGTGGAGACACGCCCCCCCCCCCCCCCCGTCCAAGAGCCACACACCAACCGCGCATGAGGCTGTGCCACAGCTTCGACGGGGCGAGACAACATCTTTACCGGCCCATGATGTCGCTGTGCAGTAGCTCGCTGCGTAAGCTTCTGTCTTGCGAACAAAAGACAAGGCGAGAAAAAAACTTGGTGGGTGCGCCGCGGCGTATGACGCTGCGTCAGTAAGCTGGACACAACGGCTTTTTTTTTTGCTCTCTCTCTCTCTCTCGTAATCTCATCAAAGCGAATACGCAGTCTTTGGTCCTAGTAGATGGTTCGCTTCGGTATGCGCTTTACAGTGGTGCGTCGTATAGATCTCCCGGGTGCTCACGTTTTTGCGGGCCGAAAGGAGGGGTGGCTGTGATGTGGATGCGGTATTTTGAGCGGTAAGGACGTAGCAAACGGTCTGTAACACTGTCTCCGTAAGCTCAAACGCTGGCCCTGAATACTAGTACCTGTTCCCCATGGACGTGTCTCGAACAAGTCATCACACAGACTGGGATCTGGCAACGGGATTTCGGATACATGGAAGCGGATCCAGCGGAAGCCAATGGGTGACATCCCGGAAATGACTCCGGCCACCACACCCATGCCCTGGTCTCGAGGAAACGAGCGTGCAGGTCAGCCACCTTCTCTACTTATTCTAGACTGAAAGCAATTTGCTTTTATCAAATTCTGGCGCCCAGTCATCAGCGCATTTGCGTGTTTCGAAGATGGAAGAAGGGTTTATCTTTGCCTACTTTACCACACCCGCTGTCAATCTGAGTACGGTCCGGTCCTAACGCATCACCCCCCTATCCGGCACATCCGGATGGTATTGCTCGCCCTGATGCAGGCCAGAAGCCCCCAAATTACGCGCAACAATGCTCTCTGCAAAGAATACAGACACAGTGTCTTTACCATGGCCATCTCGCTGCTATCATGCTGTTTAGTTGAAAAGGGCATGTCCTAGTACACTACTTAGCCACCTTGGCACACTTATTTGACCGGAAGTGACAAGTTTCGTCCACCACATGGAGAAAAAAAATCACGCAGAAAGATCATCAAAGAATAGGACAGCGGCTTTTTTCCATCACGAAGCGCAATATTACGATTACATATTGACTACCTAGCGCAAAGGGAATTCTACAGCCTACATACTTGGTCAATATCAATACTACTACTCGACCCGCCCTTCTCCCAGGCTCTCAAAGTAGTTCCTAGGCGTAACCCGCCCCTCCAACATTTGTAATCTTCACCAACCAAGTGCCGCGCATACGACCTCGTGCCGTTAATCCACGGCTTGCCAACGCGCTGCTCTAACAAAAAAATATCGTATTCATCCTTCTCTTGAAGAAGAGCTTCGTTTAAGAATCCAAGGTGAGGTAGGAAGCAAGAACGTTGTAAGGATTCTACAACGAAGAATTCGATCATGGGGGCTCAGGCCTAGATGAGAAAGTGTAGCCCCGGGAAGGGCCGCTGGGATTAGAAAGCACTCTTAATTTTCTTTTCCCTGGTTAGCAACAAGATCACTCTTGGGGAATCGTTTTGGAGAGAGAGAGAGAGAGAAATGCAGGGAAGGAGGTGGTAACAAAGGGAGGCGGGAACAGAGCACACACTCCTGGGCTTACCCCCCCTCCGGCCGTTTCACCAAGTAAACCGCTGCCAGCTGAGGCGGACCAGTTGCATGTGTATTTTTTCTTTTCTGCCATCTGGATGGGTGCAGGCGCAGGTGGCCGGGGCTTGAGGACCAGATGGTGCAAAAGAAACCTGTCGGCTCGAGCCTCGCTTTGCTTGCCGAGTGTCGAATGGGTGGACAGGGATCCGATGACGTTCAGGAGGAATGCGAGTAGCTGTGAAAAGCGATTGTGATGTTGCAAGTCGACTTGTTATACTTCCTTGACTGCTGTTCTTGGGTAAATGCACTTTGCAACACCGGGACCTTGGGGCATATATGGGCTATTGTCATCTCAACGGAAAGCATAACAGCTCGAGTATCTGGGGATGGAAAAAAAAATATCTAATGTATCAGGGCTGATGATGATGCAAAGGTCAACTGTGTTTGTCCAGACTTTTACTACATCTTCCGGTAAGCTGTGCATTAGTGTATATTTGTTAGATGTGAAGTGCATTTTGGAAATCACATTTCATACAGATATTACTATAGCTAGTCGGTATGTGGGTAGCTTGTTATAGTAAAAAGAGTCTGATTATGATTTTGTCCGGAATCTGAACTGGTGTATGACTCCTTAACGCTGATAAAATATTAATATTTACTAGGATTTGTTCTCCTGTCTTCATGACGGTTAAACCTGTACCCACCAAACTTAGAAATACAATTATAAGTAAAAGATCACAGTTACCATAGGCACGGCAAAGTGGTCACATACACTTCCTGTCTCTCTTCCTTTTTTTCCTTGTCCATAATTCCAATCTATGTCAATGGATTATATGGTGCCGTTGTTTGCATAGTAGGATTGATATCCTGGTGGTAAATTGGTGGTCGGGATGTAATGTGATTGTGGGATGGATATGTGTGGTAATCCATCTTAGAAATTTAGTCAGTCAGCTGCCATTACTGTAATGGGAGGAGTTCTAAGATGATGCCCGCATACTTGGTATGTCTGCTTTCACTGGGCTGTTAAGTGTGACGGGGATCTAGCTCCGCATTTAATACTCATTTCAAACTATCAGTCCTTTCCTTTCACTGTTTTTAAACGAGAGAGCATTTGATTCTGGAAAAACAGGGTTTGAATTTTCCCGATTGAAACCGTGTAATTTAGACACAGAAGTGAGCAGTACGATTTTTTTCTGCATATCGCAAAACATGATGAAGAATGCTGAAAGGTAGCAAGAAAATTCGAAAAAGCAAACTCTGCAATCCGGCCGAGTCAAATTCTAAGCAACTACAAAACGGAATGACGTGCACCAACAGTTTCCAGACAATCAACCATGCTTATGAGCAAGCCTATGCCGTACTTGCCCACATAGCCTTCATTCTCGTGCTTCCGGCAATCAAACCACAAGCACCCATGATGCCCAGGTTCCAGCCAGGGATACCACCGCTGGCACTGCTAAAGTGCAGTGCCATGGGGAACCAAGCGCTGGCAATGACGAAGTCGGTCCACCACCTCTTGTCAAATTTCTTGTCCTCGTCGCCCTGGCACTCTGCGATTGCCTTGCCTTCAGCAACCATTTGCTGACGGGTGAGCCTCCTGCGGCCTTCAATCTGCCACTCGCGCATTAGACGGAGGAAGTCGCACGAGATACCGCCGAGCCAGCAGCGGTAGGCGTAGAGGTACAGACGGGCAGTCTTGGGGTCGCCGCGGTTGAGTGCAGAGACGACGCGGGGGGAGACGACGCCCGAGTCGGCGAGAAGGGAAATGTTTTCGAGAAGTTGGTAAGCAAAGTAGCTCAGGGCCTGGAGGGTGGCGATTCTATGCAAGACGACGTCTGTGCCTGGCTTGGGGCCCGAGGCGAGGGAACGCAGCCATGCGTAGAGAGGCAGGGTGCCCGTCAACCGGAGGGTTGTGCGCGTCTTTGAGATGAGGACGGCGAGAGCGGCAATGGGCGGGACGGTGCCATTGTCGACGAGGGTGGTGGCGGGTATCTTTGTGTCATCGCATGCTGGGCGGACGAGAGACAGCAGCCTTGTGGCAAAGGCGGAGACGGCGGGGGATTTTGTCTGGGCGTAGGCGA